TTAGCATGGATGCTCAAATAATCAAAATGGACACCCAGCCAATCAGAATGAGTACTTCCATGATCTGAATTAAAAACTGACCAATCAGCTGGGCAACCCTATCATCCCAGCCCTTGGGAGGCTGAGGCAGGAGGATCACTGTGAGTTCAAGGCCAGCAGCCTGAACTACCTATCGAGACCTTGTCTCAAGAAAACCCAAAACCCAAAACCAAACCAAAATAAAAAACCCAGAAACAAAAGAAAAAGCTGACCAATCAGAATTCAGAATGGACACTTGACCCATCACAATAAACGCAGTATGTAACCGTATTTGCCAGTGAACTTTTTACTTGTGTGTTCTCCCCTCAATTAGGTGGGAGCAAACTAAGAGTAGAAACCACATGATAGATCTCTTTGTAACCTCCAGGTGGCCTTGCCAAGCTGGCCTCATAATGTGAGCTTAATGAATATTTGTTAGAGTGGACATTACTCATCCTGTGATTGCTCAGGAAATATCAGTGGGTGGAAGAGTACAGTTTGTCCCTTTCTGATGAGGATAATTATAGAATTATACCATTAGACTATCACTAAATAAATAGCATGTTTTTAGATGGCACACAGGTGATAAAAAATTGGTATTTTTCAGGCCTTATCATTAAATGTGATCTTGACAAACTAGAAAAATAATATATGGTCACAGTGATTTCTTAAACAAAACAATGAATAGGGTACTTACAAAATGAATAACATACAAATACAAGGGGTAGTATACGTAGGTATTGCTGAGGCCCAGAGTACCTGAGTTTTATAGCAAATAATAAATCAAAGTGTCCCAAATGTTTTTAAATTAGCTAGACCACTGGTGTGATGGACAGATGTTAGTGCATTCATTCATTCAACAACTTGAGTGCCTACTATGTGTAAAGCATCCTGCTTGCATGTTGGGAATGGCAGTGAGAAATCAGCAAGATCTTGTCCCTTAAAGAGCTCAAGTTTTGAGGAAGAAGACAAAGACGTGTACACACTGCTCAGTAACAGAGAGAGAACTTATTCGATGGCTGAGTCATCAGTCAGTGAAGATAATCACCATGAAAGACATCTTTGTAGCCCACCGGGACAGCTGTGCCCAACAGATGGCAGAGGGCCAGTGCCCAAGAGTTGGGCAGAAGCTTTAACTCTGATGGTACAAACCGATGGCCAGAGGCTGCTTTGCCCTTCGTTTTTCAGGGCAATATAAGTGAGTGGATTCTTGGAGAACACAGTTAAGGGGAGGAAAAGTCTCAGTGATGACTGATTCCAGTTTTGCCAGCCCTTCCCAAGTAGGGGCCTCACTCATATTTAATTTCACTTATGCACGTAAGAAAAGCAACATTTCCTGCAAGTATCTGGAGCAACTGAAACTAGTTTAAGAATTCTTAAATTGTTCTGAAAATTTGCACAGCAAACACACAGACCCTCAAGAATGTATTAGTAGATTCTTGGGGACTTTTGTACCTCCCAAGTGAATAACTACTGTCAGGGGAAGAGTGATACATACCCTTGGAATTGCGCAGCATGTCAGTCTCGCTTGCTGCCATGAGGAAAGCCAGTCTGAGGACCAAGGAAGCATAGAGGAGAGCAGGAATAAGAGAATACAGGAACATTAACTAAAACTCCGGTCAAAACCAGCTTGAAGCTCACACAGACTTCACACCAAACAGACCTGCTTTGCACAGCATTACTCCTGCTCATTAGAAAGGAAGAACTCTGATTGACCCAGCCTAGAACCAATGCCCACCTCTGTGGCCAGAAGACTGGAGTACCATGCTTCACATTCGCCAGTAAGGGACGAGCAGCTTCCTAAAATCCAGAAGAAAGAATGTTGGCCTGAAAAAAATCCCACAAGGGGAAACCTCTTGGACATTAGAGTCTTGTCATCAAGCTGTCATGGACAATGTAAGCCTACAGAAGGCTGCACTTGTGGTTTGAATTCAGGGACTCATGCATGCTTGGCAAATGCTCTACCACTGAGCTATATCCTGAGCCCTTTTTGATTTTTATTTTAAGACAGGGTCTCACTAAGTTACCAGGCTGGCCTTGAACGTGTAATCCTCGTGTCTCAGCCTGCTGAGGAGCTGGGATCATAGACATGCACCACTAGGTCAGGCAACAAATCAAACTGAATGTGCTGAGTGCCTTAGTGCTCTGCAGCGATGTAGCATTTCTAGGTTGGCTTTGGGCGACTGGCAGAAAGTATAAATATGGTTTCCTCAGAGCACTGTAATACAGATTTTTGGAAAGAGTCTGCTAATAGCACTTGCAGAACAGGAGCAACCAGGAACCTGGTACCTACGGTACCCTCCTCTCTATAAATGCACTTCTGTCTAGTTTGTTTGGCAAATGGCCTGAGTCAATAGACTGAGCTACTACTACCAAGAATCTGATTTCTAATATATTGTTGCACAAAATAAGAAGATTGATCATTCATAAAAAAATCCGATTCTTTTTGAAATAGTGTCAATATATCAAAATGCCTGAATGGTTCAGCTGTGGTACACAAACTTACCAAGTAGAAAAGTCCCAATATTATATATAAACTTGATAGTAGAGAAAAGCTGAGGACGTGAAAACAAAACAGATTTTTTTTTTTAAAATTCCCATCAATTAATGAAATTCCCCTATGGAGATTTAGGGACTTTAAGATTCCTACCTCTAGCTTCTCTTTTGAATTTAAGTTCTTTACTATCTCAGCTTGTTCTTACTCATACAGAAAGAGAATGACAGTAGTTGAATGCAAATGGTGGAACTGAAGAAACTTATTTTAATAAGAACACATTTTTAAAGAGAAAAATTGCACTGGTCTTTGAGGATTCCTCCCTCTTCTTTTCTTTTTTTTTGGTACTAGAGTTTGAACTCAGGTCCTTGAGCTTGTGTAGCAGGCAGCAAAACCACTGAGCTAAATCCCCGGCCCCTCCCTCTTCATTTCTACAAATGAGGACAAAGGACTAGAACTGAGATGCCCACACTTGCTGACTGTCTGAAGCCAAGTTCAGAACCTTGCCTAAGCTGAGTATGGTGCAGCATGTCTGTGATCCCAGCACTCTGGGAGGCTGAGGCAGGAGGATCACAAGTTTGAGTCCAACATGGGCAATGTAGTGACTTTGTCTCATAATAAAAAAGGGCAGGGGCTGGGGATTTAGCTCAGTGCTTCCGCCACTTGCCTCGCAAGCGAAAGGTCCCAAGTTTGATCCCTGGAACCAAAAAAAAAAACAAAAAACGGGAGGGAGATGTAGGGCAAAGGCCCTGAGTTAAATTTTCAGACACACACACACACACACACACGAAGCTTGCCTAAAGCCTGGCTTGGGTAAAGCGTCTCAGCCTGTGCTACAGGGCAGAATCCCTCGTTAGCCTGACTTTGACATCATTAGAGCTTTAGAAATTAGATATTCAGTTAATAGCAATAGTGACAGCCTCAAAAAGAAAAAGGGCTGGGAGGCAAAGGACCTGGGTTTAATCTCCAGGACTGGGGATGGGGTTGGGGCTGCTAATTTGTTCAACTCTTCGTTTTTTTTTGTATTGCGTGAATGGTTCAGTCCACTGGTTCCCTTAAACAACTTCTAATATTCCAGCAGGTGTTTCCTTATATGTAAGGTAAATGTCTGAGTGATTCTCAAATGTTTTGATCTCACGACCCCTTTATCCTCTTAAACTTCATTGAGGTATTTGCTTTGTTTTATTTTTTGAGATAAGGTATTGTTAGATAGTTCAGGCTGGCCTTGAACTCACTATGCAGCCCAGGCTGACCTCAAACTTGTAGTCCTGCTTCAGCCTCTTGAGTGCTGGCTTTACAGGCATGCGCCACCACACCTGGCTCAAAGAGCTTTTTATTCGTGGGTTTTTTTGGTGTGTGTGTGCGTGTGGTTTTTAGCTGCTGATATTTGACATATTAGGAATTAAAACCGAGAAGGAGAAGTGATTCTTGGGAGACAGGGGGCTCTGATGGAGAGAGGTGCCTAGTCCTCTTGGCTATTCCTTCCACATTACCTGAATGTAAACCCCTTAAATCGCGTATAAGAGTATAAGACAAGGCTGCTTCCTCCCTCCATTTGTCACTTGTTAAATGAGTGCCTACTGAGAGGTGATGAATATAAACAGCACTCACTGCTTGGGTACCACTCACAGGGCTGTACCGGTTCGAAATGCTTTCACTTTTGGTATTTACTTTTCACTACAATCCTATGAAGTAACTTGTTTTATATTCACTTTACAGATGAGAAAACTGAGTTCCACAGAGCCTGCGTGATCGGTCACAGTGGTTAAGCGCCTCGCCAAGATTACATCCAAATCTTACTCTCTACATTCCCATGGCCAAATTTCCCACCTCAGATGATGCTTGCTTTTTTACAGAACACAGAGCTGTAGCACAAGCCTTCCTAGATTTAAAAAATCCTTCCTCCTGCGGGGAGAGGGACGAGGTCTGCGCAGCAGATTCTCTAAATAGTCATCGCGCGTGGCCGTGGTCCGTGTGGCAGGAAGGAGGCACGAGTCATCATGGTAATCATTCTTTGTCAGCTCCGTAACTGAGAGGCTGCGGGAGGGGGCTGATGGGATGTTGCTGGGCAGAAACTGGAAGAGAAGCCAGTGAATGCCCTGCAGACGGTCTCCAGGCTCCCGAGAAAGCGTCCCGGCTCCGGTCCCGGCTCCGGTCCCGGCGGAAGAGATGCAGAAGCTGAGCGACTCAGACTCCGAGGTCCTGGATTTGAAGGCTCCTGCAAACAAAGAAACAACGAAGTTTTAAGTTCCGGCGGCGCGACGGGCAGAGCTCGAAAGGAGGTCCCCCTTCCCTGTTCGTTTGGAAAGGTATAGTCGACCGGGTCACAAGACCCTGAGCAGATCTTTCAACCGCTGGGCACTCCACGGACAGTCCGCACCCGGCACGCCCGACGTTCCCGGAAGGAACTACAAGTCCCATGAAGCCCGGGGCGCGGGCGGAGATGATGAAGTCTCCGGGGATTGGTCGCGAGGGCCGGGGCGGGGAGAGGGGCGGGGCTCGCGCGCGGCTCAGCGGGCACGCCCCCCAGCTCGCAGCCCCCTCCGCGCTCTCTCCGTCGCCTCCTCTCGCTCCCCGGTCAGAGGGCCGGAGCGAGAAGATGGCGAAGACGTACGACTATCTGTTCAAGCTGCTGCTGATCGGCGACTCGGGCGTGGGCAAAACCTGCCTCCTGTTCCGCTTCTCCGAGGACGCCTTCAACACCACCTTCATCTCCACCATCGGTGAGGGAGAGGCGGCGGCCCAGGACGGGGGTGCGAGGTCGGGGGCGGGTTCCAGGGGGCCTGAGCGAGGGCGAGCGAGGGCTCCGCGCTGGGGAGAGGGGACCTCGGGGCCGCAGGAAGGCGAGCGCAGTGGAAGAGGCGAAGGCGTGAGGGAGGGGCGGGCGGGGACACGAGGCTGCGGGTGGAGGGGGAACTTGGGGGCAAAGAAGAGGAAGCAGAGGAACAGGGACTAGGGGTACTGGAGAGACAGCGGCTCCGGGCTGACAAGGAGGGGTCCCAGAGGGACAAAGTGGGGGGGACACAGGAAATCTCTTGGGGAGAGAGATGGGGGTAGTGGATGCGAAAATGGTTAAAAGATAGCAAAGAGAAAGGAAATGTGAGGGGGGAAATGGGTTGGAGTAGGAGAGGGACGTGAAGTAAAGGGACAGAGGACACAAGGGACAAGAGAGGAGACCAAGCAATCGGATGGGAACTGAGGGGATGAATGACCGGAGGTGAGGAGTGAGGGGGCACTGGCCACAAGGAGGTCCGGACGGAGACGACATGAGAGAGGGCAGAATAAAATTGCGGGTGGGAAAGGGTTCAGGGGAACAGAGGGAGGCATGAGGATACTTGGTGGAGAAAGTAAAGGAGAGCTGGATGTGAGGTAGAAAGGAAAAGGGGAAGCTGCATTTGTAGTAAAGAGGGTAAGTAGGGAAGACCGAAGATGGAAAGGGGAGAGGAAGTGGAAAGCAGTGGGGTGCAGACTTTCCCCAGTAACTAGGACCACTGGTGACCAAATTTCCTCTTTACTTCTCTTGGATCAAGTGCAGGAGAAAGCAAAAAGTGACTAATGATGGAATAATGTCTATGGAGTGTTAAGTTGTTCCATGCGTTGTTAACGGGTGTTAAGGGGGTTGGTGACTTTTGGGAGTGATGTCAAGAAAATATGGTTCACTCCTTTATTACCATCTCCTGAGGAACAAGACTTTTTCATCTTTTAAAATTATTGAGCTTGAATGTTTTATAACTTCTAAGCCAAGAAATTGATCTTGAATTCTGCCTGCCTCCCAGTGTATTTTGCTTTGATTCTAATTATTGCTTAAATATATCACAACATGTGATATCTCTTCCCTCATTTCTTCCAGTTGATTCAATAGTTTTTCTGATCTTGCCTGGGAGCTGTCCTTCCTACATTTGTAGTGAAAGACACCGTGTCAGGTAACAAGATGTGTAATTACCATGAACGGAAAAGCAAATCAGAACTGCCTTTAAACTGCCTGTAGAAGTGACTTTAACTTTTTTAATAGTTGGAGTTGATTAAATATCTTAAGAATCTTAGTTTTGGGTTGTTTGATGTTTCTGGCTTTTAATAGTAGCTTATTTAGGTATCTTTCAAATGATTCGTACAGTGTATTTATTTCACCATGAATTTCTGGGTTGAGAAATAATAGAGGGCTAGTTCTTTAGTAATAAGAGTGTTTAAATATTTGTGTTTTAAGGATATTATCTTTTTAAAAACAGAATATTTGGATATAAAGCACTTTTTGATTCAAGTATTGGGAAAAGGATTTCATTTGACTGTTCTAATCTCTTTCATACAGATTGAATGGCCTAAAACCCCAGTATGATATCTAGCTTAGGGAAGTTTGAGTTCCAAGTTCTTGGCAGTCAGTCTTGAGTGGGACTTTTTCTTTTCTGAGGAAGCGGATTTTAAATGTCATCTCTCAAGTGTATTTCTAAAAGATTTGGTGGGAGCTGGTATAGCAACTAAAGGGCGTTAATTTTTGACACTGGTACTAATTTAAAAACCCCAGCTATCTCTTTTTCACTGTTGAATGCAAACTGCCATGGAGATGGGAAAGGATAATTTCTAACGAGTGGGTGGACTGTATCCTCTTTGTGTGACCCCTCCCCCAAGTGTCCTCCTGCCTTGAAAGTGAGTAGATTGCACTGATTCTGTTCCTGTTAAGTTCCTCAGATGAGTTTTTGCTTGTTTGTAATACTTTTATTAGTTCTCTTTTTTCATTTAATTTTTGTCCCATATATTCTGTAAGGGTATCTGCTATCTTTTAAAATTATTTTTCGGGCAGGAGGTGTAGCTCAGTGGTATAGTACATGATTAGCGTTGTGTGAGGCTCTGGGTTCAATACCAGACCCAATAAATAAATAATTAAAAAATGGTTTTCATTCTGAAGGCTTAGAATAATAATAATAATAATAATAATTATTATTATTATTATTATTATTTCATACTGGGGAGCTTAGAATTATTCTTGAGCGAATCCCAACCCTCCCACCTCCTTAATGGAGATTGAATCCGGGGCCTCAAGCAAGCTAGCAAGTGCTTACCACTTAGCAGTGTCCCAAACTCTAAGTAGATTTCATTTTTTAAATCACGAAATGAGTTTGAAGGCTTACAGCTCTTAAGATATGCAAAGCAGTATCTTGTAACAGTTTAGGAGGTAGACATTAAATGGAGTGAATCTCATGGGACATCTTGGTTTTCATATTTTTTTGTGTGGTGGGATGTGGTTAAAAAGAAGCTGTGAACAGTTGACATGGAGGAGGGGAAATGCCATGCCTCTTATTTAGCCCCTGAGCTTCTACAGGAAGTGGTAGCACACTGCTTTCAGACAGCAGAAGAATTTATATATCTGAAACCTAATGCTTTGCAGTTGAAATTAAGCTGAGGAAATTAGCTGAATGTTAATGCCATTCTGGTGAAATTTTCCAGACTCTTCACTGACTGTAAACATAGACTGGCAATGTTCACATCTCTAGCAGCAGGGTCACCTCCCCCAAGCCCTGCACCCATCCCCAGGTGATCTGAAGCTGTTGAGGTGACCCTTGTGGCCTGTCTCTTCCACAGTCATAATTGTATCTTGAAGTACCTATGTGTGTAAATTCCTAGGCTTTTCTGTGACTGGGTTTCTACAAGGTCTGCCCTAGCGTTGCTGACAAAACTTGATAAGCTCTGTCGCAGGGAAGATCCATTTCTTAATGCCTGGGGTTTGTGTGTGTGTTTTGGTAGTTATGTATGTACGCCTGTCTTGTTTCTTCCCATAAAGATACCTTCTAAGTCTTGATTTGCCTTTTTAAAAATTTAGGTTGTTTTAAAAATGGGAGCCTGCCATCTATAGACACTGTTTGAGTAGGAGTTCTGTCATCATGAAAGGAAGAGACAATTACTTGTTTTTTTTTCTGGATACATTTGTCTCACAGATACTTTCTTCTCACCTCTCTAAGGTCTTGCCATTCTGATCCCTCTCATTTCCTTTCTGCTCTTTGTGGTGGTAAAGGTAGATTTGTTTGTTTGTTTTTTTGAGACAAGGTCTCGCTATGTAGTTCAGGCTGACCTCAAACTCATGGCAATCCTCCTGCCTCAGCCTCCTGAGTGCTGGGATTACAGGCATGTGCCACCAGGCCCGGCTAGATAATATTTGTTAATCATGGAATAAGGATATTTTTATCTACTTGAAATTATAGACCTAGTGCCTCGGGCCAGCCAGACTCAGTTCAGATATTGAGAAATTATCTATTGGCTCCAAGAGCCCCCTTATATAATCATAATTAGCATTTAATTAAATGCCTATAAAATATAATATTAAGATAACGGGAATGATAATACAGTTAACTATATATTTATCTCCTATCTGATGTGGACTTATTTTAATATTGATGAGAGGGGATACTGACATGTTAAAATGGAACAAGGTGCTGGTAGGACAAAAAGATAAGCCAGCTCTGTCCTCCAGAAGGACAACCTAAATGTGTTCCCTTTGTCGTCTCTCCCCTGCCCTGCCCCCTTCTTCCTGTTAGGTATTTCCTGAGTGGTTTCATTATTTAGTGTAGTCATAGTTTGACAGCAGAAAGTCTTAGGAATTACCTATTTTATGCCCTGTTCCAGCTTCACATGTGAAAAAAATGAAGGCTTAGTTGATGTCTCAGAATCACACAGTTGGTTGTGGCAGAGCCTCTGGTAAAATCCCCAATCCAAGTCTGTGTCACTTTTCACAATGAGATGCTGCTAATTCCAGTCAGTCTGATCATCTCCATAATTCAAGTCACCACATTTTCTAGGGAGAAATTAGATTGTGCACATATGTTTCTGTGTGAGGAAAGTTGAGATGCTTCCACTTTGATTAGCCATGTCTGTGTGGAGAAGTAGTGTTCATACAATGGCTTAGAGCATTATAAGGGTTTATACTGGGAGAACTCAGCACATGGCTGTCCTTTGCCCTCTTTTGTGTGTGTTTGTAGTTTCAGGTTAGGAGATCAAAGTACGTTCTGCCATTAAAATTCCTTCCACGTGCAAAATAACTAATGAAACCGTTTTAATAGCCGCATGTTGGTAATTATTTCAGCTTAGTCTCACCAGAACAATTATAGACATTTTGTTCTGCATCATGCCATATTTTTCTTGGGTTCTCTTTCCTTAAAAATTAGAGTTAGCACACCATAGCCCGTGGGCCAGTTGTGGCCTGCAGCCTGTTTTTTGTACAATCTACAGGCTAAGAATGCTTCTTATATTTTCAAAGGATATTTTTAAAATAAAACAAAACAATGAAGAATGTGCAACAGAGACCATATGTGCCCCACAAAGCTAAAAAAATATTTACTAACTGGTTCTTTGTAGAAAAAGTTTGTTCACCCTTGTTTAAAATTAAAAACTGTTTTTGGTTGGTAACATTTCAAAGCTTTTTATCAAGCCTTATTGACTGAAAAACAAGCTCTGTCATATTTACATTTTTATCCAAGATGATATCAACATTTGGCTGAGCATAATCCAGATATGTAGAGTAGGATGATTTTAATTTTCATAGTTGTTTTCCTGGTTTCAACTTTTCAAACAAAAATATTCAAGGAACATGCACGTTCAAATTGAACATTTTGTGCATAAAGCCCTATTTTAATGCCATTGTGTTTGTTGTAAGCTGTCAGTAGATCTCCCATGTAAGTGATAGCTTTGATAGCAACACTAGTTCAGAAAAAGTGGAATTTATTACTGAATGATTAAG